CTTTTTATTATTACTTTTCTGTTACGTACTATTGTCATGTAACAGACAAGTAAGACTGCGACTTTCATGACGTACTCATCGTTATGTACATAATGCGACTATATGTATGTACGAGGCGGGGTTACACAAATGTTACAGAACGTAAAGAACGTCGTTACGTCCATAGTACGTCTTACAATTAGTTACATGTCTATGCTGCACATTAAAAATTTGGAAAACAGTAATTTTAACGAAAATTATTTACTTAGTACATAAGTAATGAAATAATTGAATTAAAAATAATGAATACTTAAATTCATGACTGGTATCGTTACAAATAAAATTTAATTATACAATCTGTTAATTTATAGTAGCCACTATTAGAGATGTGAAACTAGTTTTTGCTTTGAAATTTTACTTCCCTTGCACTTTATTCTACGTCGTTGTACTGAACTATTATTAATATAAAACAAAAGGATAGGTGATATCCAGTATTGAAGCTGCGTCCGATATGTATATATGTATATGTATGTATACATTTGATAATACTTTTCGGCATAGCTGACACTTCATGATGTTATATGCCATCACCCGCACGGAAGGTGTTAATCAACTTCAGGAAGTTTGCTAGTGGGCGGTAGTTGTCGAGCCAGTATATGCATTCTATACTAGCCAGGGGAATTTTGTGGACATCGCGCGGTCAACCACTCTAATATTAATAGCACGGGTATGAAATTTGCTTAATCATGACTAACGGGATGACCCAATGGAATGACAATAATTTGCCAGTGTTCACTTGCGCCATCAATTTCGAATAAATGATCCCCAACGAAATTGCTAACAAAATTACGCATTATAATAAAAAGAATAGCGCATTTTCACCATTCTCCCTCGTTATTCTGTTAAACACGCGGGAATAAAATTACTCAGTCCCTTTTTAACAGTCACCGTCTTTCTTTTGTGCCCGGGACGCGTAACGTTCATGTAAAAAAGGGTCGCTATGAAAAGCGACGCGAATTTATCGTCGAATTTTTCAAGGATTTCCCTGGACAACGCTTAAATTTTTGTTCCCGCGATATACAAACCGTACACGCGGGATGAACCCGTCCGTCCGCTGTTTGTGTCAGCTGCTGTTAGGACCGTAATGAGAGGTGCCATAACGTAAACGGCCGAACGCATACATTCGAGCAATTACCTCGCTTCAACTAATTTCTGTCCCTGGGCAAACTTGAGGAATTCCGCTACGCGCGTTATGGTCACGAACGTGCAAGGGGTTGCAAACGGAGAAGGGATGGTCAACTGGCCGAAGAGGAGGCGGAGGTCGCCGCTGACCATTTCGTCGGATCTACTCGCGTTCTCATTGTACACATACGATGTTGCTGTACCATGTACACACGCGTGAGAAGCGTACAAATACAAAGGCGACGCGGCCTTTAGCGTGTTGGGACCGCGTATGCAACCGAGAGGGTTGTTTGTCAAGAGAGTTTTCAGCGGTGAACACGCCGGCCAACGAGTATTACGGGTTGGATTAATTCCTGACAAAAATATATGAAATATTGTCGTGAAGCAGACGAGCCGGGCCACGCACACGAACTCTTGGCTGGCTTCCGGCGTAAAAACCAGTCGTATATGTACAACGTTTGTTGGACGTTTACCTGTACGTTTTGTGTTTTGCTTTCGGATTGCGCGCTAAGGTTTTCGCAACGAATTGCCCCCGGGTAAAAGACCTATCTCTCTCTTGATATGATTCTCATGCCCCTTTGCACCTTCGCGATGATCGTTCTTTACCCCTCTGGATTTTTCGCTACAGAAACGTTAACTCTTCGCGCACCCTTTGGGTTGTACTTTTTCTCTGAGTTTGTAAAGCTTAACGATTGGTCATATCAATTCACAGCAAGAACGTTACAGTTAAATGAAATTGTTGTTTACAAAATGCAAGATTGAATTGTATTATTTAATCACATATAAAAAGAGTAAAAAGTTATTTAATTGTATGTTTTGGTTTATCTGATGTATACCAACCGAATTACGGGGCTTAATAGGATGATATCGAATAACTCTATCAAATAAATGGAATGATTGGACGTGAATAGCTTAAACAGCTGCCGCATAATAATCCACGTTGATGCGGATCTATACTGACGTGACACTCTCTATCTTTATTCTTTACGAGTGGATGTTCAGTCATCCATGTTCACGCGTTTCTCTCGAACGTGAATGCAGGATCGGTACGGCTACACTTCTTGACGCCTCTTTGGTAGCATGTAAATGGAAGAAAGCGTCATTCCGGACGATACTCGTGTCTTGCGCACTCTGACTCGGTGCTATTTGCACGCGCTTGTACATCGCCTCGCGTCGACAGATTTCCGAACAAAATTCCTTTCCTTGATGTCTGGAATAGTCGAGTCATTCAAGTTCCTGGCGACGTTCTATTCACGAGAACCGGCGCGGCGGCGGCTGCCCACTCCTTCCTTCCCGTATGTCGATTCATTCCTTCAGCGAGTGAATCGACGACGATTTACCTTTAGAAGTGGTCAATCTTCTCCGACTTCCTTTGATCGTGAGAATAAAGATCGTGACACGAGATTTACGAATACAAATTGACGCGAGTAATCCCTCCGCATGTATGTACGTTCGCATTCTCATTGCCCTCTATCCTAATATCCCTTAAAGTGCCGATCGTAATTGGCCGGCGTAAGTTTTCAGGTATATACACGCGCTCCGGTAGGAGTTACGTGCATGGAGGAACCACGAGGGTGAAATCGACGGAAGGGTAGAGCGAGGAGGATTGCGAGGGGAACGAGCTGCCGCGAAAGGGTGCATTTGGCGTAATCGAAGTATCGCGTGCCGCAGTCACTGTGGAACGATAATTCCATTACGCGAGAGAACAAACGTACGTACATACGTACCGCAAAGGCAGGACATTTTTATCGCGTACGATCTGATATTTCGTCGATCAGCGTCCCGGCGTTGTTGTAAAAGCGCGTGCGTGAGATACGCGAGTAATTCTCCTCGCGTGGGAAAGCAACGTTTCCAGCTGGCATAAATATAACGAGAGGAACGTGTACGTAAGTATGTACATAGACAGGACGAACACGGCTAGTAGCTTCCCTCCCGACTAATGCGAGCTCGCAATCGTTCCGCTCTTGTAACGTTTGTAAACTATTTATTTGACTGTCGTGAAAAAAACTTTGCGAAATAATTCGATGTACAAGTTTTGTCTCTTCTCTTTCTCACTTTCTCATCCCGAAGTACACGTGGATCGTTATTATGATTCGCCGGGTTTTGACGCGAGAGAGAGCCGGCCTGAACTTTCTTAATCTGAAGTAAACCAAAGCGCGGATAATACGCGTCCTCCGGCCATTCGGGGACTTTAATAATCTAACTTTTCGCGCTATTTTGCGCCCCACTTTTAACCTAAAAATTGCTTTTCTTCCCTCGCTTAGCGGGAACCGTGCGGTCGAGGGTTGAAACGAGTATTTACGTGTTCTCGCGCCCGCCTCGTGTCATTCTTTTTCAACGTACCCCGTAAAACGTAGCTCGGTTGAACTACATGCTTTCTTTTGAAGTTCCGCTAACTTCGAGGGAAACGAAACACCTTATTGCCTATCCATCAATAAGACACGACTGTTTCTTCCCTCGTTCATCAGCGTTTCGACGTTCCCTCGGTGAAAAGACGCGTTAAACGATCGACTTCTCCGATGTACCTCCACGAAACCTCTCTTTTATGCGGAGGATAAAAGTGGCCGGGATATTTCATATAGATCTTCTGAATTACAAAGCTCGTGGATCGTAATAAAAATCGGCTTTCCGTATACCTGTCTACACGTACGCATCCTATCTTCCACCGCCTTTCAATCTCACATCTAGCCCGACTACTCTTGGCATTTATCGGGTGACGATCGATTGCAGTGCTC